AGCCTCTCTGAAAGGGGCCAGTCCTAGACTGCTCACAAAGATCAAACGATCAAAAACAGATAACACAGAAATTACAGAAATGGCTTCAGAACTCAAAGAAAGCTGCCTTTATTATTTTTATAAAGCCAGAAAAGCACTGTAAGAAAACCTGTCAAAATAAGTGCAGAACTCATTGCATTTAGAAATCTTAACCAAAATATTAGCAAGCAGAGTCTTCCAATACCACATCACTATGTGTCACATCTGTCCAAGCTAGCACCATGCACCAAAGTAAGAAGAGTAGGCTTGAGAAGAAACAAGAAACAAGCAACATTGTCATTTGCAGATAAAATGATTACATACCAGAGAAAACCCAAGACAATAAAACTAGGATGGTGGTGATATGATTCTAGTTTCGAAACAAATATACAAAAAGCTAATAACTTCCATACCAACAATAACCAGTTAGAAAACATAAGGAATAAAAGCAGTTTATCCATAATAACTGATGAGACTCACTATAAAGAAATCCACAAAATTCTACTGATGGACAGGAAGGAGATTTGAGAAAATAGCACAGTGTTGCTTTTAGATGTGCTGTGTTAGCTTTGTGAAGTATGGAAAATGATTGTGAGTTTGGGGGCTGAAAGACTAGACTATGGCATTCTTCTATAGTCTAAAGAGAAGTTAAGTTTTGCTCTTCTTGGGAATAAAAATTGGTTTTGGGTTAACCAAGGAACCTGATGAGCTGGTTTAGATTTGGAAAGATGCTTCCTGAGCCTTGCTATAATTGAGATAATGAGATTGAATTGAAGTTGATAAACCAGGGAGGAAAAAGGGAGAGACCAAAGTAAGAGGCACACTGGAGCTTAAAGAGGGAGACAGGGAAGACCTGCTTCCTGCAAAAGGACAAACAGGGTGACTTTTAAGTGTAAACACAACTAATACTCAGTTTAAAGTCACTTGTTATGCTGCATTCTTTTTATTAGAATATACATATTATATATATGTATATATATATATTTTTTTTTAATTTTTGGTGGTACTAGGGTTTGAACTCAGGGCCTCACACTTGCTACTCAAGTGATCTATCACTTGAACCATGCCCCCAGTCCTGTTCGCTTTAGTTATTTTCTCAAATAAAGTCTCATGGTTTTACCTGTGGTCAGTCTTAGACTAGAATACTCCTACATATGTCTCCCATGTAGCTGGGATTCTACAGACGTGAACCTCCATGCCCAGCATATGGGATGAGATGGGGGCTCACTAACTAGACTACTAGAGTAGTCTCAAACCACAATCTTCCCAATCTCCACCTCCTGCGCAGCTGGGATTACAGATGTACACTAGCATGTCCAGCTCTTATTAGTGTATATTAATTGTACAAAATAATAGGTTTATTATAATGCTGTCATAAACATAGGTAATGTACTTTGCTCATACTGACTGTCCATTGCCCTCTCTTGTCTATCCTCTCCCCTCCTTCTGGCCCCCTTTGTTTTTCCAAATAGTTCCTTATGATGTAACCCATGCCTGATGCCTTCAGCCCTTCCATGACGACCATGATGTGGAGATGATGGGGTGGTGATGGTGGTGGTAACAGCTTGTATTTACCAAGCGCTTTCACTACTTTTCACATTTAATCATTACAAAATTCTGTTTTCCTGCCTTTCCTTTCTATGGAGGAGGTGATGAGTCAGGACAGTTGAGTGTCCTCACCAGGTGGTTTGCACGGTGGTGCCTGCCATTGGCCAGATGTTCTGCACCGAGGACTGACTGGTACCTCTACCCTGAGTTGCCATCTCTCAAGCTCATGGCCTTAAACTAGTGCCAAGAAAAAAGTCAGGTGGTTTCCAGGGTCTTGTGGATGGGACAGAGTCGCAAAATCAGAGCAGAGGGCAGATGGAGGATTCCACAGAAGCAAGAATATGTTCCTGACTTCAGAGCCCTCCACCACCCTGAAACCCCAGAAGGCCAGGAAACATGGGGCCTTCTTCAGGTGAGGCATGGGATGTGGAGACAGTATTAGTACATCTTATAGTAAACAGTCCCTGCAGCTGGCAGGATAGTGGAGGTTCATCTGGAGCTTGCAACATGACTTATAACTATTAAAATGTCAGTCCATGTTCCCTAAATGAACCGAAAGATGATACAAGCATACTCACAGTCTGTTGAGCTTTTTGAACTCACCCAAATGATTTTGAAATATATTTAACAGAATATAAATGTATACAAACATCCAAGAAAGAGTGAAAAAGAAGAATCAGAGAACTTAACCCAAGATGTCATAGACATGAAATTACTTCAGTTAATGAAGTACATTTTTCAAATCAGAAAAACAGCCAATGTCTAATGTTCGGACAAATAGCTAAACATTTGAAAAAAAATCTAGATTCTTCTCGACATCCAACACCAAAAAGTTTCAAATGAACTGCAGACCTTAATATGAAAAAATAAGAACGTACTAGAAGAAAATGTAGGTGAATAATCTTGGTGTGGCAAAGAACTTTCTGAGTTTGGCACAGCTTCCACTTGTCCCTAACCACTAGAAAAGGCAAGGAGAATGGGCTAAATATTTTAAACTTCAAGACTAGATACTCATGAAATGTATGTTTAAGATAAAAATAAACCCATAAATTTAATAATAATTAGAAAGAGTGCGTCACCAGATGAGAATTTTTCTTTTATTCCTGAAAGAACCAAATGGATCAGATCAATGTAGGGATTCGGCAAAGCCACGGCTCGAACACTTGCAGGAGAGACACCTCCAGGAGTGAGAGTAAGTGGTAGATGAATGCTGGGAGCGCAGGGCCCTGGGTGTGAAGGCTGAGGGGCCTGGAGCCGATGCGTATGTGCTGGCTGTGTACACGTGCTCTGGCATCAGGCACACCTCCATCCAAATCCCAGCGCTGCACCTCCCAGTCACAGACCTCAGGCAAGTCATCCAGCCTCTCATAGCTCTGTTCCCAACTGGGAGGTTGGGAAAATAGCAGTGCTTATGCTCCAGGGTGGGTGACGTGAGCATTGTGTGCTGTCTGCCCTCAGCCCAGTGTCTGCTCTGCACCACGGCACATGAGTGTTTTCTTAAAATGCTCAAAATCAAAATTTTAAGACATGCAATTAATCCAAAGCCAACATTCAAGCGGCTGTGTGTGTGTGTATGTGTAAGTGTGTGTGCGTGCACACGCGTGCGTGAGAGAGACAGAGACAGGGAGATGAGAGACACTGGGGTTTCAGTTGTTTTACTTGGTGACTAATGATCTTGGGGAAGTCTTACTGAATTTATTTATTTATTTATTTATTTTTTGCTTTTTGACAGCACTGGGGTTTGAACTCAGGGCTTCACACTTGCTAAGTAGGTGCTCTGGTGCTTGAGCCATACCTCCAGCCCTTTCTGCTTCTGTTATTTTGGAAATAGGGTCTTACTTTTTCCCAGGCCAGCCCGGACCACAATTCTCTTATTTTAAGCTTTCCTATGTCACTGGGATGATGGGTGAATACCATCACACCCACTTTTTTCTGTTGAGATGTGATCTCGCAAACCTTTTTTGTCCAGGCTGTCCTGGAGCCACAACCCTCAAATCTCCACCTCCCACGTAGCTAGGATTACACACCTAAGCCACTGAAGCCTGGCTGCATGTTTGTTTATTTATTTATTTATTTATTTATTTTTAACAGCAAAGAATCTTCCCACTTTTTATTTTGACATACCAATACTTCCATAAACTTGGAGTGGAAGATAAGTTGTTAAATAAAAGTCATTTCATATATATAATATACAGATATTATTTTAAAGGTGTTCATATAATGAATTCTTTTGGTACTAACAAAAATTAAGATACAAATAACTGACTAGAAATAAAACCATCACTAAACCAAGATACACAGGAACTGCACTTCATTTTGGGAAAAGAAAATCCAAATAATTCTTACTGCATTAGAAGAATAAAAGTACATTTGTCATAGTATACATTATTATATTCCCTTAAAGTAGGGACTGTTTAAATTTTTTAAATTAAAAAAATGTTCAGGTTTAATTCTGTCTGTACATTTAGGAACAATCACCGGTTACATACAATTCTCTCATCATGCAAAAAAGCCTCAGTTAATTGATTTCTAAAGTCTAATTAAATCAAATCAACCAACAGCAATTTATCAAGCAGAAAATCAGAGAGATATAGAAACTGAGCAGTTGAGTTGTATTTCCTGTCTACACTACTGCAATCTATCTTCTTCATGTAGGCAATGGTGGTCAAAAAATTTCAAATGACAGAATATGTGAGAGAAAGAAGAGTTCCTAATGCCATGACAACCTTTGCCATCTTTTAATACAGTCCTTACACTTCTACATGTATGTGTGGAAAGGAGCAGGAAACAAAAGCAGTAGGTTAAGACAGATAAATAGAGAATGCTGAAATAGCTACATTAGAATTATATTTATTAAAAAACTGATCTGAAGTCTGCTCAGGACACCCAAACAAGCAAGCAGAGCAGACATTAGTGCAAATTTAACCTGATAATTTATGAAAAAAAAAAGCTAGTTTTGATTAGAAAAATTTCAATTATTTCCTTGTAAACACAAAGAAAACTCAACAGGAATTTTAAAGGTCACAGAAAACGTAACAGTTGCTCTTACAATCCTTCTCGAGGCTTAATAGACAAATCAAGTTGAAGACAAGTGTTAAAATACCTTTCAGCCTGAAAATTTATGCACCTCTATATCCCGTTGTTCCAATTGGCTTTTGATTTAAAAAAAAAAGACTCAACAAACTTTTTGTAAGAGGTACAGCTAGGAGTGATGAATATAAATTAATTCCCCTCCCCACAAAAAAGACATCATTTACCCTCTAAAGCATAAAAAGCTATATAATATCTCATACAAATTAACCAGTGTACTTAAAAAAGTAAAGCAGTTTTGGATTAATGACATTACACTGAATTTGTGGTGAAGTACGAGGCACAAGAATGTATGCACTAATTAGGCATTTCAGTCTAATCAATCTCAAGATTACCATTTAATTCTTGGCAATATATAATAATTGTTATGCATTTTGGTATGTAAGTCATGAATTGTATAGAACAAGAAGCAGTGTATTATAACAACAGGGTTTGTATTTGACAAAACAACTGCAATGGTGAACAAATTTCTTCTATGAACTTTGCGATTTGCTTTGCTGTTTGTCACTTGTAGTAGATCCTTGATTTGACTCTTCAATATTCATGCTTTCTCCATCCGCAGTCTCTAACATTTCTTCGTCTTCCTCGTCATCATGTAGGTCTTTTGAAATTAATTGTCTAGCTAATTTAATATTCAGTCCTTCATTGTAGTGAAGCTTCCTTTTCATTTCAAATTGTCGCTTCTTTTCTTGCTCTTCAGGTGAGAGGTCATTATCCTCTTCACTGCTTTCTTGTTCCCGAATTCGACACTTTGGCTCAGAGCCTTCAGCAGCCGCTAATTTCTTAGCTAAGATACCTGGAGTCATGGCTTCAGTGGCTTCTGAATCACTGTATGCATCTTCATCATCACCTATCGTACTATGATAAGGAGTGCTTGGTTCATCTATTTTCATTAAACCATAATCTTTGTCTGCCGGATGATATGTTGCCAGGATGTTCATCTCATCCCACTTCTGGGATTTTTTACTCAGTTCCTCCTCGACGTTCCGGCGGGGCTGTTCGGCCGAGGCCACCACCGAGGAAGTCGTGGAGGTCTTGCTTTTCAAGATTCCCTTGATGGGCCGGTGCGAAGCAGTCGAGGCCGCCATTGCCGGTCTCTTCAGCTGACGGCTCAGGGTCGTTGCCGGCGTGGAGTCCGGGAACACCGGGTCGCGCGCTACAGAGACCCGGCAAGCAGCTGCGGAGCCCGCTGGGGACTCTGCATGTTTATTTTTTAAATGGCATTTCTGAGGAGCACAGTCTTTGATTTTGAAGAAAATTATGTTAGGTCTTTTTCTGCTGCTATGAAAAGTACCTGAGTATTTGCAAAATATCTGGGTAATTTATAAAGAGTAGAAGTTCATTTTCTCGTGGTTGTGTAGGCTGAGCAGTCTGAAAGCATGCATCTGCTTGTCATCTGGTGAGCCTTCTTGATGTATCTTAACATGGTGGAGGGCATCAAACAGGCAGACAGTACAAGTGTGCCAGTTCAGCTCTCTTTCCCTTCTCTTAGAAAGCCACTAATACCATCATGGGGCCCCATCCTCCTTACCTCTCACTTCCAAATACCATTAGCACATTCATGTGGGGATTAAGTCCCCAACAGAGGAACTCTTGGGGACACATTCAAACAACAGCACTGATTTAACAATTCTGCTTTATGTTTTATGCCTTGGGAGTCCTGGTTAAGAAATCTTTGCTTACCCCGAGATTGAAAAGATTTCCTTCTATGATTATGGAAGGTTTACAATTTGAGCCTTTATGCTTACATCTATGATCAACTAAGGTTATTTTGCATATGTGGTCATGTAAGGTTAAGGTTCACTGTCAGGTCAATATCAATTTATTGTGGCACCATTTGTGAAAAGACCATGTTTAACCTTTTGAATTACCTTATCACCATTCTCAAAAATTAATTAGTCATGTTCACATGGGTCAATTTCAGCATTCTCTGTTCTTTCTCATTGTCTTTATACCTAATACCACAGTCTTAATTGCAGTGGCTTTATAGGAAATTTCAGTCAGGCAGGTTGGCTCTTCCTATGTGTTCATCTATTTCAGTTATTGTATCCAGTTGATTTTAGTTCCCCACTCTTAGTTAAGAGAGGAAAGCTGTGATAACTAGACAGAGGAGAAAAGCAGGTAAGATTTTTTTTAAAAATTGAATCAAGCCAGGTGCTAGTGGCTCACACCTGTAATCCTAGCTACTCAGGAGGCAGAGATCAGGAGGATCATAGTACAAAGTCAGCCCAGACAAATAGTTCTGAGACCTTATTTCGAAAAAACCCAACACAAAACAAAGTTGGTGGAGTGGCTCAAGTGGTAGAGCTCCTTCCAAGCAAGCATGAGGCCCTGAGTTCAAACTCCAGTGTCACCAAAAAATTGAATCAAAATAAGCAATAAAAATGTTAGAATACAGAAAATGCAAGTAGAAGACTTCAAAATGAGAGTCATCAGCATCCACAGATCCAAGAAAATGTTGAGTCTGCAGATGAGGAACAAGAAGAAATTCAAAGGAATATGCAGAGAAAGAGAAGAGTTTTAAACACACACATGCACAAGATATCTTTCAATGGAAAGCTTGGAAAATAAAACTGATAGAACTTCCAGGAATGTAGAGCAAAAAGGTCACAGGATGGAAAATTAAAGCCGTTCAAACAGTTCATCGTCCAAGTTCCAAAAAAGAAAAAATAGAAGTGAAGCAATTATCAATAAAATAATTCACAAACATGCTGTGTAAATGAGGAAGGTGGTGTCTAGGTTGTAAGGATCTAACAAGTACCCAGCACAATGGCTTAAAACAGACCTAGGCAGATCATTGTGAAATATCAGAATATTGAGGGAATCAGAATGGCTTCCGTCTCCCAAACAGCCACATGGAAACAAGAAGATGACAGGGGAACACTGTCCAAAGAATGTTATTTTCACCCCCAAAATTCTACATCCAGCCAAACTATCAGTTGGAAGTAAGGATAGAATAAAGAGCCTGTTAAGGTCTTCAGGAGCCCCAAAATATTTACCTGTCTTGTAACCTTTCTCAGGCAAATACTGGAAGGTGCAAGTTGCAAAAGTGAGAAAGTAAGCCAAGAAAGAGGAAGTCATGGGCTACAGAGAGCAGGATCCAATACAAGGAAGAGACACAGGAAGCATGGTGGCATACACCTATAATCCCAGCACTTGGGAGGTTGAGGCAAGAAAATGGCTACAAGTTCAAGGCCAGCCTAGGCTATATAGTGAAGCCCTATCTCAAAAACAACAACAATAGAAATTCTAGGAGGTGCTTGGAGGGAGGGCCCAGTACCTAGTATAGCTGCTGTGCTCCAGGGTGGAAGGCAGCTAGTCCACACTAGTGTAGGTCAGAAGATCCAGTAGAAATTTCTTCAAGATGAAATTTATAAAATACCTAATGTATTTATGTAGAATGAGAAATATTTAGAATGTTAGTAGGAAGTTTGCAGTGTAATTTCTTAGAAATTTTGCAGTAATTTCTTAGAAAATTAAACAAACAATAAAATTAAAAATAGGAGAAATAAGGCTTCAAAAACTGACAGTTCTCATAGTGTATTACATGGCTTAGCTGTGAATACACATATAATAATAACAGCACAATGTGTTTAGCTAACTAAAAATTAGAAAGCCACATTTCAAAGAAAGAGAGAAAGAAAGGTGGACATTTGTTGTGTGTAAATGATGGGAGTAGAGGTGAGTGGTTAAAAGAGAAATTAAGCCCTCATATATCATAGTGTAAATTCTATTGATAATGCCTGAAATTGAGGAAAAAATCAAATACCACAATAGTCACCCTCTGTGTCCATGGGATCTGAATCCTTAGGTTCAACCAACTTCCGATGCAAAATACTTGGAAAAAAATTGTACTTGCACTCAATGTAAAGACTTTCATTTTTGTCATTATTCCCCAAACAATACAGTATAACAACTATTTACCAGCATGTCCATTGCATTAGGCATTATAATTAATCCAGAGATGATTTACAAAGCCATTACAGGAGACACCAGGATGTGCACAGCTTCTATGCAAATACTAGTCCTTTCGTGTAAGGGGGTTGAGCTTCCATGGGTGTTGTCATCCTTGGAGGACCCTGAAGCCAGTCTTCTGGGTATAGCAAGGGATGACTTGTAAGTAGGTATTTAGAGATAAGGTGGTAAATACCAAAAGAATCATCTTACAAGAATTAAAAAGGGCTACCTCTTCCTAGGCAAGAAGATGAGAGGTGAACATTGGGCTCTGCTTTTATAAAAACAAGCCTTCTAGTCTTAGTTGAGTCTCCGAACTGTTAGATGGATACAATTTTGATAGAAGTTGAGACTAGAGGAGGAAGACAAAGAACTTCCAAACTGAGAGGAAAAGCTGCTGGCAGCACCTACCCATCAATACAGCTTGTTCTTCACCCAGCTTCATGTCTCTCACCAGAAGCAAGTTCACAGAAAGAGCATCCAGGAGCAGGACCCAGTGGATCCCAGATGCAGAATGTAGCCTGCAAACAGGGAACCAGAACATGTCAACAAATGCAACACCATGAAAGAGGGACTTCAATAACAAGCACAAACCAACAAAAAGCCAACACTTACGTAAATTGAGCTAACAGGACAAACAGACTTTTAAAGAAAAAAGTACGAATAATTTCCAGAGGGTTACAAGAGGGTATCACAGATCTTCATCAAGAACACACTGTTATAATGTGGTAATTGGGGGTTTTGGGAGGTCAGCCATGTTGACCACAATTAAAAAGTTCAACTGACCTTATAATCTTAGTGAGTGAACTAATAAATGGGAAGATCAAACTGAGGACTTTGTCTTTCCAGAACACAGTTCAAAAGGACAAAGGGACAGAGGTGCAAGAAAGCAAAGCATCTTTGAGGACAGGCTTCAAGGTCCCCGCCTTCTTCTAAGAAGAGGTCCATAAAGTAGAAAATGAAGGAACCAGAGAGGAGAAGATGATATTTTAAATTTCCCAGAGCTGGAGAAAGACCCTGGTCCTCAGATTGAGAAGGCCATTGGATCTCCTCGTGATGTAGCTTCTTTTAAGGTTTATAAGATAAGTCCTTCAGTTCTTGAAGTGGCAAATACTTGCCCTCTTCCATTACAATAGTGTTAGTCCCACTCATAAGTCCCCTTGCCCAGCTCCTGTCTCCTGGCCGTGCTTTCATTCTCTCATGTCTTGCTTCCTGATTTCCTGTGTGGGATCTCTGAATTGCTGGGATTTGCCCTTCATGACTTTGTCTTCCTAGTCACCACTGGTCACTCTTAGCATCCCTTAGCATTGAAGTCCGTGTGAGGCGCACGCATAGGAGTTTGAAGGAAACAGATGACCCTGTGTTCTGTCTAACTGTGCTTGTGCACTGGAATGTTCTTCTGTGACCTTCTGAAATCTGTTACATGGATCATTTTTGCCTAACTCTGACCTGCCTCACAGGGAATTATCACTGCCTATCTTGTGACTGTTGATTTGGTCCATATACACAGGTTCCTCTGTGTCGCTCATATGCACAGGTGCTTCTGTGAAAAGCAGGATAGTATGGGCTGTATCCATACACTCATTTCCAAATTCAAACCTAACCTAATACAGAGGTCAAATCACTTTTCTTTCAGGACAATACTCATTTGTTCTGTCTGCTGAATAGAGATAACAGAAATATTTAGTTTGGCAAATTTTAAAAGATTTTAATTGGTTGCTAGAAAATCAGGCCCAAGTGTCAGAAGACAAGAGTAGTAAAATGTGAGGTCTGAGGTCATAGCTCAGTGGTATAGTGCATGCTCAGCATGTATGAGGCCCTGGGTTCAGTCTCCAGCAACACACACACACACACAAAAGTGACATGTGCTTACCCACACCAGCAGGCACCAGTAGAGGTAGCAGTGAAGGACTTCAAACTGTGCTATCTATTGAACATAGTAGCAGCCTACTCCCCCTCGTCCACTCAAGATGTCTATTAAACACTTGTCATGTGTCAACATGCTCATCCAAGGAGATGCAAAGACGGATGAGACCATAGGATGTTGAAGCAGAAAGGACCTCAGAGGTCAACTATGTCACTTTCCAGACATAGAAATAAAAGCCCAGTACTGACAAATACTTTCCCCAAAGTC